CACTTGCAACAAGACAAAAAAAGTCGTGTTAATGGTCGTGAGACCCGGTCATCACGTGATGCCAGTCAACATCCCACAGGGCGAGTTGGAATGTTCACTCACAACATCATCATCTATGCGGTCAGCATCATGCCCGGCCATCCTTTTTCTCCCCAGTGCCGATGTTGACACACCACACCAGGTGATAATATTTTTTAAGGTACAGATTTCCGCCACTGACGTTAGCCGTGGCCGAGAATCAAACTCAGGTGTTGTCGGATCCGCGCACAAACTGCTGCACCATCGCTCCCTCCATACATCACTTGCGCGTGTTGCGTGCGTGTGCACGGACCCAAACGTACACGTGAACGCTCGCATAGACATACACACACACACAGAGACAAACAACAGATCCACCCAGTTTCCCATGTAACACTCCACAAACCAATTTCCATCAAATCCCGTGGCGTGGCTCTTAATGAACGCATAATACAATGTTATTTAAAATCTTGATTTGGATCAAGAGGAGCAAAGGCGTAATGGCATGCAAATAGGACTCGGTAATAACCAGCGCTCACGCCGTGGGAATCGCGATTAGCCCGACTGCCTCGCCCCCCCCCCCCGCTCGAGGCCGTGTGGGGGGCACAGCCGGCAACGTGCCCCCTCGTTTCTACAGGTGGCCTCGCTGCGTTATCATCGCTGTCAACGTCACCAGCCTCAATCTACTGTTGGGTTAAAGCCTTTCTCATCGTGGTGGTGGCATCTCTGCTGCCGTGCATCCACTCCACCAGCGAATCTCTCTGGACCGCCACCACCGCGACCGCCACCACCACCACCGCCGCCGTCGTCGCTATCGTCGCTGTTGTGCGAGTATGAGTGTGCCGCCGCTTCTGAGAACCTGTGCGGTGTTATTTACGGCTCACATCGGTGATGAGTGACACCTTAGCCGATCTTGCCACACTCCTGCACTAACCAGCATGACACAGGATGGAGAGGCCTTCATCCGGCAGTGGATTGACAAAGGGCTGGTACGTTTCAAATATAAATTGTGCAGCGTATCCATTCATTTATCATCCATTTTCAATTCAATGTTACTGGACATTGCTTTGAGCTAGGGGTTCAGGAAGACTTCTTACACACACACGTGGTTGTGTGAAGATGTCTCCACGCGCGTCCCTGCCACGTGGTGGTGTTGGCTACGTGTGAAGCATCAGGACCTGAGAGGGTTCCGGATGCATCGCCAGTTTCTCGGCTGCGAGATCGTTTCAAATGATTCTGTCATGAACCGTTGAAGATCGCTTAAAGAATTTCGCTTAAAAAAAAAACCACACAAACGAACTTAAGCGTGCGCAGGGAGGACGTTTTCACCGAATCGCCTGGTAAAGTTCAATGAACTGTCCAATTATAATAATTTAACAACTGACAATAAATTTAACAACGGACACCCAGTGCCATGGGTAATTCGCAGCGCAGGTCTCAATCACCAACCTACAAAATGCACTTGAAGATGTGCATTCCTTTAAACAAAACCGTGTACAAAATGTGCATACTACGGGAGGATATATCAAAAGTAAATACCTCCAATGCCTGTCCTAATTTCATCGCTCCATTTGGCTGTCATCGTCTCTGTTGTGTCAGCAAAACATCTGGATTTTACTTTTCCCTCTTGACCGATGCGGTCTCTTTATCACCGGCCAACCCGTTCACATTTTCGCAGTCAGCCTGGGCCAATGAAAACCTGCGCAATTTCTTGTTGTTAAAGTTCACCACAGAGCACCGATTGCCGGATCTCGGGACGAATCAGCTCCTGCCAGCCAAACACAGACGCCAAATTCATGGGCTGTCCGGGAGAATCATGGACGGGTGGCAACCCTCGGCAACTGCGGCTGAGTCGCGTTGGCCACGTCGAAGGCAATAACCGGCGTCTCCCCGCTCCAAATGCCCATCGGGAACGACGGTGAGCGGCGTCTTTTCGCAACGTTTCGCTCCGAGTGTGCCCACGGTGCAAAAAAGCCGCCGTTGACATCCGCCAAAGCGGCGCTTGTTTTCAAGCGTCGCGGAGAGACGGTGGGGCCCGAGTTGACCCCTGACCGGCATTTCAACTCGGGCTCCCCCCCCCCCTTTCTGATTGTGAGGCGGTGACGCTCACCGCAATGCCCACCCTGGCTGGGATGACAAATCAAGCTTGCCGTAATTAAATATTAAACCCATTTAATCCGTCATCTCGTATACGACGCAGCTTGGAGGCGAGCATTGTTGGATTAAATAAGAGGCAGCGGGTGGGCCTCTGTTTTGAAATATTACTGGGGGGGGGGGGGGCGATGAGGGGGGGGGGGGGAAGGGGGGGGGGCAGCGGTGGGGGGCGGTTTACAAGGCTGTATTCCGCGCAACGAATCTATAATTCCGTCTGTGTGGCTAGTTCATTTCCAACAGGGTTCATTACTCAGCCGCCCAATGAGCAGACCTCCCAATATCGATGGTAATTATGGCAGTCATTAGAATATACAATTTCTCCTCGCTCTTTTTTTTTCTCCTCCTCTCTCCACCGTCTCGCAATTGTGTGCTTCTTAAAATGCGCGTATATTAATGCACCGTCGGCACGTCGGTTGCGCGACGGTTAGTAGGGCGGTGAACAAAAGAAATAAAATGCACCATCAATGTTATTGATTCGATATCGCAATTGTCCGATCGGACATGACCCCGATAGCGTTTAAAATTTCACATTCCACAGTGAGCGCTGGCAACTTGTGTCCACAAAGACAAATGTCCTCCATGCAGGGTTATAAACTGGCCAGAGCAAGCGGTTGTTTGCGAGTACCTATTAAGGTCGACGTGACACACAAGGACGCGGTGTGGCCTTTGCGGTGTGATCTTTGCATCGCCCAGTTCTAACAGTTTCTTCGCGCTAAATGTGCCATCTTCAGCTTTTGTAACGGTATGTTTGTGAGAAAGAGGGCTGGGAACAGAAGAAGAAAAAAAAACGTTCACAGACAGAGAGATGGCATGCGGGACAATGGCGAGTACAGCAGAGGACGCGTGGGTGAGAGGGGTGGATGAGTGGGGTGGGCATGAGGGGTGAGCGAGAGGGGTGAGCGAGAGGGGGGAGCGAGAGGGGTGAGCGAGTGGGGTGAGCGAGTGGGGTGAGCGAGTGGGGTGAGCGAGTGGGGTGAGCGAGAGGGGTGAGCGAGAGGGGTGAGCGAGAGGGGTGAGCGAGAGGGGTGAGCGAGAGGGGTGAGCGAGAGGGGTGAGCGAGCGGGGTGAGCGAGAGGGGTGAGCGAGAGAGGTGAGCCAGAGGGGTGAGCGAGAGGGGTGAGCGAGAGGGATGAGCGAGAGGGGTGAGCGAGAGGGGGGAGCGAGAGGGGGGAGCGAGTGGGGTGAGCCAGAGGGGTGAGCGAGAGGGGTGAGCGAGTGGGGTGAGCGATTGGGGTGAGCGAGAGGTGGGAGGGAGAGGGGGGAGGGAGAGGGGTGAGCGAGAGGGGTGAGCGAGAGGGGTGAGCGAGAGGGGGGAGCGAGTGGGGTGAGCCAGAGGGGGGAGCGAGAGGTGGGAGGGAGAGGGGTGAGCGAGAGGGGTGAGCGAGTGGTGGGAGGGAGAGGGGGGAGGGAGAGGGGTGAGCGAGTGGGGTGAGCGATTGGGGTGAGCGAGAGGTGGGAGGGAGAGGGGGAGGGAGAGGGGTGAGCGAGAGGGGTGAGCGAGAGGGGTGAGCAAACGGGGGGAGCGAGTGGGGGGAGTGAGCAGGGTAAGGGAGACAGGGAGAAACAGTGAGATGTGCCATACGGGCGCTGCATGTGGCCGTGCCAAGGTTTATATATAAACACAAACATAATCCTTGGAGATACAAAGGTAGGAGCAGTAGCAGATCTGGGGGTGGGGGGGATCTAAGCAGCCCACCCCTCCACATTGAGACCCCAAAAAATTGGTATTATATTGATAATTACCAGAGAAAATACTTTAATGTTCTATTATTATTATTAATGTAGGGCTCGATTCAAAAGGCTTAACATTTCACCCGCCCACCCCTCTCCCTGCTTGGAAGAGGTTTCTAGTGCGCCTCTGGGCAGGAGAGGCGCTGAGGTCGGCATCGCCACGCAGTGTGCGGCGCCTGCCTTAATAGGCGCTCGCTGACAGTGCCGCCCCAACAGTCCGTCGCACTGCGCAGGCGCTTCCTGTCACTTGAGTGTTCAAGCGGGGGGGGGGGGGGTGATCGAAACGTCCTTGTGCCTGGCGATTTGTTTGCATGCGTGTGTGCGTGATTGCGTCAAGCGAAACGTGAAAATATCAGAAAGGCCCAGGAAAAATATTGGGGCTGGTGAGGGGTGGGGGCGGTGGTGGAGTGGAGGTATCAGAAAGACAAGAAATGTGGAGAAATCCACACTCACCAGGCCTGGCTCCCAATGACTTACAGGTGTTCAATCAAACGATCACTTTGCAGGCGAAGCGATGATCGAGTGACAATAAGGAGCTCTGTGCTGTGTGACTGGTTTGAGAAGGCAGACCAGAGGTCCCAATTCGTGAAGCATTGTTGACTATCATTGCACCTTGACTTTGACTGTATCGAGGAGAAAATATGCCCCATTCGGCCATTTCAGTAATTCACGCAGGGCATTTTTTTTCCAATTGTCAGAGTGAACTCTTTGCTACGTCTCATTCTGCTCATATTGAACCAGTGCTGCTGGAAGTGAGCGTGTATGAGACTGTGTGAATGACAGAGTGTGGGGAGCGGCAGTGTAGCGGTTAGCGCAGCGCGTTAAGAACCCGGCGACCCGAGTTACATTCCCGCTCACTGGCCAACGCCAGTGACAATTCTCTCAACCGGTCCTGGGCCTCTCAGGGTGTAAGCCTCACCACTGGGAGAGACAAAGGCGGCCGGGCATGGTGCCGGCCGGGCGTGGTGCTGGCCACTCACCCCCAACAGTCGGTTCAGGCGATGCGGGGGATCTTTGAATTTGTGTGCGGTGCGCGTGTGTGAGTGCGAGAGAGAGCGTGTCCACGTGTGAGTGGGCGAGAGCGGGCGACGCTTCACCTGGTCTCCCGCATGGCTGCTCGGGGCGGGCAGGTCGTCCATGTCGCCCCTCCCGCCGCCCTCGCCCTCGCGCTCCTCGATCACGAGGTCGATGGGCATCTTGCCCTTGAGGCAGCTGATGTAGCGATGGCAGAAGTTGTCGCACAGCTCGTGAACCTGCGGGCGGCATCGCGAGGGGAAGGCTCGTAAGAGGACTGCGTCTAGCAGCAGCAGTGGAGACAAATCGAGGTCTTGAACTATTAAATTGTTTTATTTTACAAGGTAAGGCCGACTGAGCTGTGTGGCTCTTGTTCAGAAGCGACGTGGCCATCGCAAACGATAGCTCCACGAAGTGGCTCATCACGTGGACATTTATAACATTCAGATACTCTAAACGCATGATGTTCATTCGACATGTGGGAGGGGAAAACTGGAGGACCCGGAGAAAAATCAACGCGATCACGGGGAGAACACGCAAACTTCAAATATACAGGCGTCAGGGTCGGGATTGAACCCATGACCTCCTGCATACCAGGCGAGGTAGTTAACATCTCGCCACCGTGGAGCCCATACAAACGACACGCGCAAAGGGAATTCATTTTACGGTAAATACTGATCCCCCGAAAAGCTCGTATCACACTGCAATGATAACGGAAGACAAGTGGGATTGCGTTTTCAAATAAAACCCGAACACGCCGGGAGACAACGCGTGGAGCTTGCGAGCGCGAGGAGTAGCCACAGACTCGCCGTTTACGCTCGACTCTCACGCTCACAACGCACGCATCGAACCGCGCGTCCAAGAAGCATTTGCGATTGGAATACGTCGACTTGTATACTTTGCTCGGGGGGCCTCGATTCGCACGTGCTGATGTGTACGGTAACGTCGACGTGTATACGTCGATGGGGACATGTTGATGTGCTTGCGTTGTCATGCACCCAAGTTGATTCTACGTGACCCATGCAGCTGCTGGAGGAACTGCACTGCACAAAGAGAGAGAGAGAGCAAGCAAATCCTGAGCTGAGGTGGCGTGCTGGAAAATCGAAATAACTCACAAATGTGTCTTGTTAAGAAAACCTACGCGAGCATCATTTTGTAACCCTTTACAAAACCGCTTTTATCATAACATCTCCTCCCCGTGTACCGCCATGCAGTGAGTCGTTCTTTCTTTCATTCAATCGCCCTCGTCTCAACACAACAGGCCGCATGATTTACAGACAACGCGGTCGCGAGGGTTCCACAAGCGCTATTCAGGGGACATCCCGAGTCCACGGTGACACCGAATCGTGATGATTCCTTCAATCGCATGCGGCGGGCTTGGCATGCACCTCCGATTCGCACGGTTGGCTACGTACGGTGCGAAATAAGTTCAACATACATACACACTGATATACACTCTACTATACACTGCACACACTACGCTATACACTACACTACTATACACTTCTATACCTGGACACAACACCACTATATTACATTGAAAACTCATCTGTTCAGAACCGCTTCGTGTGTGTTTAGTTTGTTGTCTTTCCCCCGCACCTCTGATTAGCAGGGTTGTCTACGTACGGTGCAAAAGAAGTTCAACATACGCACTTGTGCCCCAATATTTTCATTCATAATTGACTTCTTTGAGGTCGGATCGCCGCGTCCGCAAGTTCGTCAGTTGCACCAGCGATGGCAGTGATGCCAATGGCCCCAGACGTCTGAGCCGCGCTCCATTCATGCAAAGTCGAGCCAATGCAATGATCGCTCGATGAATTGGGTGTCTACAAGCTGAAGTTAATCCACGGCCATGACATTTTTTGACCAAATACATCCATTCCCTCATTATTCACGATTTTGGCTATCCGCAAATGGCATCTTGGAACTCTATACGACTGCATCGAGAGAGAGAGAGCGAGAATGTGATGAGAAAAGTGATGAGAGAGAATGTGATGCGAGAAAATGATGATGAGATTTAGCGATGGGATAATTTTCACGTATTTAAAAGGTTATTTATAATTCATTAAAAAGATAGGTTTTCGTAGGCCAACATCATTATCCCCGAAATTGGCTTACTCACGAGCATCTCCGGAACGTATCCCTCGCGAATAACGAGGGAATACTTTAGAAGGCCCAAATAATTTACGCGCCGATTTTGAACGAGCCAAAACCTTTATTTGTTAAAGATTTTTTTTTTTTATGAAACGATGGTGAATGCTTTTAACGGTTGCTCAGTCTGGCACACTCCTCAAACACCAGGAAAGGCACCGCACTTTCTCCTCCGAAATTCGCATCGCACATGCAATTTATAAAAAAAAAACTAAAATCAGTATGACGCCACAGCTGTGAGCGTTACACTGCGCGTGTCTGTCACATTCAATCCCTATCAGTTGAATTTAATTGAACTTCAAATATTGACACTCATTTGAAGTCACAAATGTAAGTGCTGCAGAAGCTGATAATGCAAGAAATTGCATTATTTATATGAAATCCTTTTCATTTGACTCGAATTACCGCAGTTTTCATTTATTCTATGAACTTTTTTTCATATTTAACCATTTTTTTGTGTGTGAGTACAAATGGGTACATTTAAATGGTTTGTATCCATTTCGGTTTTACTTCACACAGATGTGTTCATGCCTGGCACTGATTTCCTTTGGTTAAATATGTTTTTGTACAGTGGAATAGAGGGATGCCACTAGGGCCGCCACCTTGACCACCTCTGACCAAACCTGGACACGTGTCTCAGTCAGCCTAGGCCAGGAGCCGAAAATCTGCAGCTTTTTAAGGACCACCATCTCGCATTCACATGCATTGCGGCTCTGGAAATTATTATGTTTTGAACCGAATAACAAAAGGCTCTTCTTGTTATTTTGGTTGCCAACCCCTGGCCTAGGCCTATCAACACCGTGCAGTAATCCTGTGATAACGTTCAACTCAACGCCACCAGATCTCGGTGCAAATCCATTACTGCTGCCACCCGAACACAGATGCCAATTCTCTGGACAAGTGGCGGCCCTGTATGAAGCACCTATGTGAGCCTGAAGAGGAACGAGGCAACAAGAGAGTCACGTTCGTCGTGGGTCCCTGCGTGACCACCGGGGATGGGCTTTGAGCACGCGGCCGTGAGCAGAAACAGTCGCTGCCGATTGGCCGATTACACAAGTCAAGCCTCGTCATTATCACTGGGCTTCCATTAAGAAACAGGAGAGAGAAAAGTCAATTGGTTAAAACAATTGACCTGCCATTGTTCACGTGCAAGTTGAGTCAATCACTAGTTTCCAGGAGGACATCCTGGCTCTAGCCGTATCTAAATCGGATGGAATCTCTCTCATGGAGATCATATGAACAGGAATGGACTAAAATATACAGGGCGTCTACATTTTTAACCCTGTTCGTGAGTAGAATGTCTTGTACGCATCGATATTTCCTCTAAGTTTAGGGCGCTCACTTGTCCTGCGTGTGAACAACAGTGAGCGCGTGAGGACACCGCGCCGGGCGATTGGCAAAGAATATCTCGCCTGCTAAGCATCAGGTCGCGGGTTCGATCCTGACCCTGACGCCTGCATATTTAGAGTTTGCGTGTCTCTCTCCCCGTGATCGTGTGGATGTTTTCACACAATAAGCCACTTCGTTGAGCTAGCATTTGTGGCGAGGTCACTTCTGAAAAGAGCTGAACAGGAATACCTCACACTTTCGTCTGGTTAGGGACCAGGGCATGGACGAATGTCAAAAATGGATGAATGTCAAAGGAGAGCCTTCATTTAGCCTTGCTCATTAAGTTTGACTATGTCAAGCTTATCTTGCAAATTGAGAACCTTATGGGTTATTTTAGCTTTACCATCACCACATTTAGAACCCATTATGAATATATTAAAGCACAAAAATAAGTATTTTACAGTAATTCACAAAAATAAGCACAGTATGAATACTGTACACGTGTTTTGTAATCACAAAATAACGACGAACACTGTAGTATTATACCGTTATCACAAAAAGAACTATGAATTGTTCACAGTATAATGCTCACCGAACGACTTAAATTCAAAGATTGAACGAAAAATATGGCGCGTGGCGCGAACGTCGTGGAAGGTTCTGGATGAAATCGGACAAAAGAGGAAAGCGCGTGGACCAAATTTTAAATGTGGTTAGAGTTTAAACGGCCGAAAGAGCGAAGTGACGAAAGTCAAGTGGACGAAAGTCAAGGCATCGTGAAAATTGCCACACACTACCAGCACGTGATGAGCGTCGCTCTATACGTGGAGGTGAGCACAGTTCCAACTGCCACGTTCACAGAATGACGGCGTTTAAAGTTTGATGCCGGACAAGGATTCTGAAAAGAAAACCAGGGTGCTTCTTCTACTGCTGCTGCTGCTGCTGCTGCTTCCACAAGCAACCTGTTCTACAGCGAGTGGTTGGCACAGTCGCGATTGGCGAGCGCTACAGCTGCAACTGACCGGTGACATTCACTCTCGTGCCACTTTCCCACCCCCAACTCCTTTGCGGTCTACGGAGACCGGGCGGGAGGGGGGGTGACGCAAGCAGCGGCAGCGGGAGGGGGTGAACGAAGTCGATGCACAAATAAAGTTGAAATCGAAATTTTTAGTCAAGGTTACGGAAAACTTAAATCTCTGTCAACTGTTCTGTTTTTGTTAAAAATATATATCCACGCCTGCTGTCTGCCGCATGTTTGGCACTCACCGAACTGCTTCGCTCGACTCTTAAGAAATTCAAGCTCTTTCATGCAAATGTCAGCCAAAATCCCAAAGCCAAACACGCGTCCCCACAAAGCCTTACAAAAGTAAATACGTAATGGTAACAGACTTCCGGTAACTTTGGTCATACTTACGAATGAGCTCGCCCATCTCAATGGGTTTCCCACTGGTTACGGACACGCGGAGTGTGTTTACACGCACGGTCACCGTTGCTGGTAGAGCCGTGGCCGCAACAAAGCGTCTCCACTGCGCCTGATGCAATCACATCCTGATTGATTTCACTATGATTTCTCTATCAACACTGATTCACAATAAAACATGACGTCTTGTTTTGTTAATGCAGTTATTGGTTGGTGCTTAAAAGTATGGTGAAAATAAAAGGGTTTATTTGGTCCAATTTTATGGAATGGGGCAGCGGGAGGGAGGGAGGACAAAGTAGTGACCGCATTCGTAAAATTCAGGGGGAGCGCCCCTCCCTGCCTCGGCTGAAGTTGAGGCTCCAACCGCCTTGGCTGCAGGACAACGTCTGCCTCTTGTCGTCCAAGCAGCGCGGGGATTTCAACACCGATGGCTCCGCGCCCGCCTAGCCCGCGGGCCTCTGCCGCACGCGCGAAGGACGCCGAGAGCGGCATCGGTGCAGAGCGGGAAGACGACGAGGGCCAAGGCGTGCGGGCACGACGAGACGGAGGGGCCGTGACATGCCCGCCAACAGGCAGGCTCGCGATGGCACGCAACGCGCGTGCGGGCCAACTCGGCGTGCAATTACGGGCGCAGCTCGCTCATGCATAGCATTACCCTCTGGGGAGACAGGCGGGGCGCAACTTTGAATAAACTTGCATAAAATAAAGACATCTGGAAAATCGACGTTGACAGTGCGGCGAGCGGGGTTAATGCGGGCCGCGCGTCCCGGGTGGCTTGGCGATGAAGCCGCTCGGCGCGAAATTCGGTTTTTTTTCTTCATCTTTTTTTTCTCCCTCGCTCGCGCAGACTTGGAAGCGGCGACGGAAAACCGAGGGCGCCCGACGCCACGCTTGGCTGGCGCCCAATAACACCGCGCGCGCGCGGCCGCTCAGCAAGCCCGGTCGATCGGTCGACGGCCCCCTTCAAAACTCGTAGCCAGGTTTGGAAGCCCCACCGAGAACGGCAAGCGGCCTCCCTCCTGCGAGCGCAGCCGGCGTGTCAAGAACCGAAGAATGGGAACGCGGGAGGGGGGGGGGTAGGAGGACGGCCTTCCACCACGCAAAACACCGCCGCCGCCGAGCGCGACCATGGTGAACGGCGAAGGAGGGACCGAGTCCTGCGATAGGGTCTCAGAATGTTCTGACCGCTGGCTCAAAACTAGCAAACCGATACGAATACCCGGGCACCTCCCCCACCGATGCCTTGTACGTATGTACGTTGAACTTCTTTCGCACCGTACAGAGCCATCCGTGCTCATCGGAGGTGCGGGGGACGGACAAAAATGTAAACACTAAAAAAATCTGTTCTGAATAAATTAGTTTTCAATCTAGATTTAAAAGTGCATAGTGGCTGCCGAATATCGGAAGAGCGTTCCAGACGGCCGCAAAAGCGCATGTGAGAGTGCTCGATGCGGTAGCCGTAACGTTGCGAGCGATACAACCGTTGCGCACGGTGGGGGGGATGGGGGGACATCCCATGGTGCGTGGGAAAATTGCCAGAAGTGGGGGGAGTGCAGTGAGGGTGGCAGAATTCGCCATGTGTGTGGTTTGTGTTTAAATTGGCGCGGGGGGGGCAACATGGGTGACGCGCGACGCTGCGGTGGCGGGGGACGTAACGCTGCGCTTGCGACGATTGTTTTGACACCGGATCCACGTAGACCGCAACTGTCCCAACACCTGCTGCTCCGGCCCCCGTCCGCCTCCATCACAGACGGCAAGCTCCCTCGCGTAAACAGTGACCCACGTGGCCTCGCACGCACACGCGGGCACGGCGGCGCGCAAATACCCGTACGCAGAAGATAAAAAGACGTTGCCAAAATCTTGCCAAGGGAACTGCTCTCCAAACCCACCGGTGTGCGCTGACACAAGAGTAGCTGGTGCCTCGCAAAACGCCCACCACACGTGGACAATGCCATTTCTTTGGCTGGGTGGTGGAGGGCCCTGACCACATACATTTGGCCAGATCATTGCGGCGCGACGGGCCTCATCCCAAAAATCGGTTATGAATAGTCCTTTTGTCTTCTTCATGTGCAAAGTATCTGTGATGGCATGAACCCCAGGACAGCAGCATGGAATGAGAGAGGACATCGCCACTTGAACACAAACAGCACTCGGCTCAGCCAATCGCTGCTTCTCAGCGCCTATTAAATGCATGACCAGCACCTTTATCTCTCGAGTGCTGATGTTCACACACGACACCTTGTGCTCATTTAAGGCTGAGTCAACCTAGAGAAGGTCCAAGGAATATTCAGATCGTGCACAACGGTTTTGTCATATTGCTGTTCCCCAACTGCCACGTCCCATTGGTTTTGATTCCACACGACACTCGCTTGCTTACGCGCTCATTCACGCAGTCGCCGTTCACTCGCTCGCGAACGTTTACTCCCACAATCACCCACTCGGAGACAAAGATCAGCGGCGGTGAGTTGATCGCCAACTCGCACTGCCGAGCAGGCTTGAAGTATCGTCACAAAGACAAAGATACACCGTATAGCCTTTTAACAGACTGGTTGGGCAAGTGCTGCTAGCGATCGCCTATAAAGGCCAACATGGCACACGAGGGGGTGGGTGGCCAGCACCACACAGGGCCGACTTTGTTTCCCATGTACTAACGTTGACACACTGCACCAGGTACTCATTTGCGGTTGAGTCGACCTAGGAGAGGCCCAGGACTAGTTCAGATATTCGTCACTGGGTTCTAAGTGCAACATGCTCAACGCTGCGCCACAGTTCCCCACGCTCACACACCTAATCACTCACTCACACAATCACTCACACAAAATACCTTCTCTAACTCCAGCAGGTGAAACCTCAGCACCTGGATCGCCTGAATCATCTGCACGGAGAAGGGAGGCACGAGGGTTAGCATCTCCCACCACCACCACCACACTAATCCGGCACATCTCAAGCGACCACAAAGAGGTTGCATGAATAGCAATGATAAGGATGTACATTTGATATTCGCGCCATTATTACAGTGCAGGGCTATCACGAGGGAAAGGACTGTGCTTCAAAGACGGGCACAGTCAGCCAGGACAGAGCGAGTGTCGCTCTGCGCGACCCCAATTGAGTAATTTGGGGTCATTGTTCAAATTCTGTAAATGTAGCCGCATCGCAGGCGGACAACGGCCTACTCGTTTCGAATTTACGCCAGGGGATCGTTAACGCCCCTTTGTGAAGCGGACGGCACGTATCTGCGTGGTTGGTACGCACCGCAGTAATGACCAGGGCAGCCTGTCATATTAGAACCGTGAACTCTAAACGCACACTTCGAAATGTGGAGGGGAGAGAGACACGCAAACACAAAATTTACTAGCAGGCGTCAGGATCAGGATTGAACCCACGACCTCCTGTATACCAGGCGAGGTAGTTAACATCTCGCCACCGTGGCATTTGACCAGTGGCACGCATCCCAAACTCGAGTGGCCGCGATGCCACGTGCATGGAAGTGGCTCACGATCATGAAGCGCTGCTGATAATGATAGCTCAACGAAGTGGCTTATCGCGCCGAGTATGGCTATGGGCCTACGGGCCGCTCCGACGTCGCGACGCGAACGCCACTCAGTCTGCGGGCTCCTGATGGTCTCGAGCAACTTTCGCGACCTCGGGCAGGATCTTGCTCAGCGTGCCCCCTACATCTGAGACGCAGAGGGGGTGGAGGCAGCCTCGGCGGGATTGAGCGAGGTTAACGGCGAGGGTTTGATGCTGAGAGAGATCCTACAGCGTGATTTACGCGGCTGGTCAGATGCATGGCTGTGGCCTACTTGTGAGTCAACGGTTAGGGATGAAACACATTTTAATATCCACTAAAACTGTTAAAATACGATTATGGCTACTGAGATCTGTTCATCAGTTTTCCTTTTCAATTCACAGCCAATGGTCAGTTCCTGAGCTGCGGATGCCCGGCAGTGCCACGATGTGCCCTTGTGCGTGCGCGCGTCTGCACGGTGCTGCCAGGCCGCCCCATGTGCACGTGACAGCCTCAGCTACTCACCAGATTGTCCAGCTCAGGGTTGGATGAGAAGAGCGGCTTCTCCGTACGTATCTGTACAAGCGCGCACAGAGACAAAGACAAAGATCCCCAATTTAGCCTCAACAGACCTTTGGGGCTGTTAGCGAGAAGCACCTAGGAGCCGTCCATGAATGACGTCACACATCTAGGGGGGGGTCAGACATTTGTAACGATGTGTGACGAGGAGGGGGGGTGAGAAATGTGACGTCACATGAAAATGCGCAACTTTAAATAAATATAGACAACACGTTCTACTTAATTAAATATACTTTTTAATAAATGTGTTCTCCTACAACATCAGAGTTCAGCGCCACATTAAATACGCACTATAATGACAATAGTTTAAAACGATTTGAAGCATGTTTTATTTTCAAAATGGAAATATGGTTTTGGGGGGGGGGGCAGAGCTTTGTGACGTCATAATTGAGGGGGGTCTGACTTTTTGTGACGCCGTGTGACGAGGGGGGGGGGGGTCAAAAATCGTCCAAAATCGCGTGACGTCATTTATGGACGGCCCCCAACCTGTAATGTCAGGATCAGAATATGCATTTATCCTGGAGGAATCCGATGAGCTTCACAGCTCTTTTCACAGACGTCCAAGTCGGTTCCCAGATGTCCAGCAGTGTGCATGGCGCGTGAGGTCAGCGAGCACTTTTACAAGTTACAAGACCGCCTTGCAAGAAATACGACGGTGGGCGAGGTGACCCATCGAGCAGAATCAGAATGTTTATTTATACTGGAAGATTCCGTAGATTGGGTCGCGAAAGCCGACGCGTTAAACTCAAAGATTCCGATGGAGCTATGCAGCTCTTTTTTTCACAGACGTCCAACAGGACAACGTAACATCAACAAACAATACAGAAATATAATAGAAGTGCGAAGCACAAGGAAGGTAAACAAATCACCCAAACACATACAAACTAAACCATCCTGCCAGCCGTGGGGCCACCCAAAGCCATGCTTGTACAGCGACTCCCCTACTTACGAACGAACCAGGGCATGTACTCTGTTCGTAAGTCGCGGAGTCTATGTGCCGCGATTTGAGTGTCGCGTTCAGGGGTCATCAAAACGACCCCCCTGGGGTGCGCAGGGTTTCGCGGAGCTTTTTCGGCTTGAGTTGTTCGGTGTCCGACGTTTCGCTCCACGTGCCGGGCGCTTCCTCGGGAACTGACCGCCGGGTGCCGCCCGACAAGCATGTGATCCTGATGGCGCTACCCCGGGTTACCAAATAATACAAAATGGGACGAGGCAATTAAATCTTGTATTTCTGGGACACTTTTTTGTCCAGGGGTGTACTTCACTCCGCGACTGGGGTACCAATCAATCCGAAATGAGTGCTACTCCGCAATGTCGACACGCAGCGAGGACGATTGCGCTGAAACCCTGTACACGACCATCAACAGACTAACAGTGACTGCATCACGAACATTATGCGAGAGCCGGGCTACAATGGTACCTCGGGCTACAATGGTACCCCGGGGTACAATGGTACCCCGGGCTACAATGGTACCTCGGGCTACAATGGTACCCCGGGGTACAACAACAATGGTACCCCGGGGTACAATGGTACCCCGGGGTACAACAACAATGGTACCTCGGGCTACAATGGTACCCCGGGCTACAATGGTACCCCGGGGTACAATGGTACCTCGGGCTACAATGGTACCCCGGGCTACAATGGTACCTCGGGCTACAATGGTACCCCGGGCTACAATGGTACCCCGGGCTACAATGGTACCTCGGGCTACAATGGTACCCGGGGTACAATGGTACCTCGGGCTACAATGGTACCCCGGGCTACAATGGTACCCCGGGCTACAATGGTACCCCGGGGTACAATGGTACCTCGGGCTACAATGGTACCCAGGGGTACAATGGTACCCCGGGGTACAATGGTACCTCGGGCCTACAATGGTACCCCGGGGCTACAACAATGGTACCCCGGGTACAATGGTACCTCGGGCTACAATGGTACCCGGCTACAATGGTACCGGCTACAATGGTACCCCGGGCTACAATGGTACCTCGGGCTACAATGGTACCCCGGGCTACAATGGTACCCCGGGCTACAATGGTACCCCGGGGTACAATGGTACCCCGGGGTACAATGGTACCTCGGGCTACAATGGTACCCCGGGGTACAATGGTACCCCGGGGTACAATGGTACCTCGGGCTACAATGGTACCCCGGGGTACAACAACAATGGTACCCCGGGGTACAATGGTACCTCGGGCTACAATGGTACCCCGGGGTACAATGGTACCCCGGGCTACAATGGTACCCGGGCTACAATGGTACCTCGGGCTACAATGACAATCATGAGAAAGCGGTCTCGTTTTTACACACTTTCATTTAACTCACTCTGTCTGTTGTTGTCAGAGGTGGGACAAAGTCATTGTTATGCAAGTCCAAGTCGAGTCTGAAGTCATCAAATTCATGACTCGAGTCTGACTCGAGTCCAAGTCACATGACTCGAGTCCACACCTCAGAGGTGGGACAAAGTCATTGTTATGCAAGTCCAAGTCGAGTCTGAAGTCATCAAATTCATGACTCGAGTCTGACTCGAGTCCAAGTCACATGACTCGAGTCCACACCTCTGGTTGTTGTTGTATCCTCAAATCTTGTAACTCATTTTAACCCACTTCCCAATGTGGTATCAACTGCAAACTTGGTATACTTATGTCATACTGATGACAATATTATATTCTATCATAAACAATGAAATATTTTTTACATGATATGTTTCGGCTTGGCTCTAATTGTGCACGGTCAACTGACGTTGCCTGTAATTGGCCACGGTCCCATACGTTATGGCAAGCTTCGGGGCCACATCATGGAGTCGTGGAGTTTTGCCATTACTAGTACATTTCATAAAAGCGTGCTTAAAAAAAGTTTTTTTAAATATTACATATTTTTACAAAAAAGAGTCCTCGCTTGCGCGCTTGCCTGCAAAATGGCGAAATCTGGGCAGAAGTCCGCTGCAACGGCGTAGTGCTCACCAGACTCAGCTCCCAGAGCCATGCCTCGTGTGTTCAGAGATACAAAACAAACCGCATCGCCAATCGAGCGCAGCAGATGAGTTCGATTCGCGCCGCGAGGAAGCTTTGCGAGGAGGCAGACGAGAGTCTGGTCGGAGACCTCAATGAGCCCCGTGGTCATCATCCTCCTCCCCTCCCCTCCGCACGGCTTCTTCACTCACAAGAGACACACCACGGTCGTGCGCTTGTTTGAAGGCCCTCTTTGCCGTGGCCAGCGGCAGGACGCCTTTGCAAGCGACGGAAAGAATAGAAAGTTGTACGCTGAACTTCTTTCGCACACGTACGGAGTCAACCCCGCAGGGATGTTCATACCACGATACGCAGACACACAATCACCGCGGTGTTGGCGAGGCGATGACATTCTCCCACGGACAATTATCTTGCACGGTATCCATGCCGGAGCCTTGCACCCCTCTACCGAAAGGCTTTCTCAGTAACCCTTTTGGGTTTGAGAACCGCAGCCTTAGAGCAATTAATTAAGACACGGAAAGAACGCGGTTGCACTACTTGAAGGGACACGTGCAGGGAAATGAGTTAACAGCGAGGTCACGGGCTCTTCTGTCGAGTACGTGAACTCACGAAACAACGACCACAAAGGTGCCTCGTATAGCCTTCACAGACTGTAGGGGCAAGTGCTGTTGGCAAGCACCTACGTAGGCCGGTGGGTGGCCAGCACCACGCCCGGCCGAAATTGTCTCCCCAGTGGCGATGTTTACACACCGCACCAGGTACTCATTTGAGGCTGAGTCGACCTAGGGGAGGTCCAGGACACATAGAACACACACACAGACACACACTCACAGACACTCACACAGACATTCACACTCACACACAGACATTCACACTCACACATAGACACACAAACAGACAGACACTCACACACAGACACACACACACACAGTCACTCACACACAAGCACACACACAGACACTCACACACAGACACAAAGATAAAGATCCCCCGTATAGCCTTAACAGACTGTAGGGGCAAGTGCTGTTAGCGAGCACCTATGAAGGCCAGAACGGTACACGAGGGGGTTGGGTGGCCAGCACCACGCCCGACCGCCTTTGTCTCCCCAGTGGCGATGTTTACACACCGCACCAGGTACTCATTTAAGGCTGAGTCGACCTAGGGGAGGCCCAGGACCGGTTCAGATAATCGTCACTGGTGTTAGCCGTGAGCGGGAATCGAACCCGGGTCGCCAGGTTCATAGCGCAGCGCGCTAACCGCTACACTACCGCTCCCCACTAGACACACACACAGACACACACACAGACACTCACACACAGACATTCACACTCACACACAGACATTCACACTCACACACAGACACACACTCACACACACCGACACACACACAGACAGACACACACACAGACACACACACTCACACACACAGCCACTCACACAAGCACACACACAGACACTCACACACAGACACTCACACACAGATACTCACACACAGACACTCACACGCAGACACACACTCACTCACACACACTCACACATTCTCACAGACAACAGCACACCGGTGGGGGGGGGGGGGAAATGCGATAACAGCAAATTCTGCTTTAATAAACGACCCCCCCACCTCGCGCGAGCCTTTATAGGGGCACCGCAGGCAAGCGGCGGAATAATTATAGCAAGCGCCATCACCTTAACGAGAGCTTGTTTAATCACAGCCTCCTCCCCCCTGCTGCTCCCTCAACCCCTTCGCGCCCACCGTCCCCCCTCCCCACCTTGCCCCCCACTCATGATGGGTGCCGCTGCACGAGGCTGCGGGGTCGGGGGGGGGGGAACCCGCAGCTCAGGTTGCCGCACGCGGGCGGAGTCTTTGCGGAACTGTTTCGCGACGCGACGGGTTTTGTACGTGACTCTGTGTGTGTCTGTGTGTGTGTGTCTGTGTGTGTGTCTGTGACTGCATATGTGTCTGTGTGCAACCCCCTACCTCCTCGCGGTGCTGGACGGGCAACGCTGCCGCGGGCAGTGCCGGG